AGTTCAGTTCTAGTTCAGTTCTAGTTTAGTTCTAGTTCAGTTCTAGTTCAGTTCTAGTTCTGTTCTAGTTCTGTTCTAGTTCTGTTCTAGTTCTGTTCTAGTTCTGTTCTAGTTCTGTTCAAGTTCTGTTCTAGTTCTGTTCTAGTTCTGTTCTAGTTCTTTCTAGTTCTGTTCTAGTTCTGTTCTAGTTCTGTTCTAGTTCTGTTCTAGTTCTGTTCTAGTTCTGTTCTAGTTCTGTTCTAGTTCTGTTCTAGTTCTGTTCTTGTTCTGTTCTAGTTCTGTTCTAGTTCTGTTCTAGTTCTAGTTCTGTTCTTGTTCTGTTCTAGTTCTGTTCTAGTTCTGTTCTAGTTCTGTTCTAGTTCTGTTCTAGTTCTGTTCTAGTTCTGTTCTAGTTCTGTTCTAGTTCTGTTCTAGTTCTGTTCTAGTTCTGTTCTAGTTCTGTTCTAGTTCTGTTCTAGTTCTGTTCTAGTTCTGTTCTAGTTCTGTTCTAGTTCTGTTCTAGTTCTGTTCTAGTTCTGTTCTAGTTCTGTTCTAGTTCTTTTAGTTCTGTTCTAGTTCTGTTCTAGTTCTGTTCTTGTTTCTGTTCTAGTTCTGTTCTAGTTCTGTTCTAGTTCTGTTCTAGTTCTGTTCTAGTTCTGTTCTAGTTCTGTTCTAGTTCTGTTCTAGTTCTGTTCTAGTTCTGTTCTAGTTCTGTTCTAGTTCTGTTCTAGTTCTGTTCTAGTTCTGTTGTAGTTCCGTTGTAGTTCTGTTCTAGTTCTGTTCTAGTTCTGTTCTAGTTCTGTTCTAGTTCTGTTCTAGTTCTGTTCTAGTTCTGTTCTAGTTCTGTTCTAGTTCTGTTCTAGTTCTGTTCTAGTTCTGTTCTAGTTCTGTTCTAGTTCTGTTCTAGTTCTGTTCTAGTTCTGTTCTAGTTCTGTTCTAGTTCTGTTCTAGTTCTGTTCTAGTTCTGTTCTAGTTGTTCTAGTTCTTTTATAGTTCTGTTCTAGTTCTGTTCTAGTTCTGTTCTAGTTCTGTTCTAGTTCTGTTCTAGTTCTGTTCTTGTTCTGTTCTAGTTCTGTTCTAGTTCTGTTCTAGTTCTGTTCTAGTTCTGTTCTAGTTCTGTTCTAGTTCTGTTCTAGTTCTGTTCTAGTTCTGTTCTATTTCTGTTCTAGTTCTGTTCTAGTTCTGTTCTAGTTCTGTTCTAGTTCTGTTCTAGTTCTGTTCTAGTTCTGTTCTAGTTCTTTTATAGTTCTGTTCTAGTTCTGTTCTAGTTCTGTTCTTGTTCTGTTCTAGTTCTGTTCTAGTTCTGTTCTAGTTCTGTTCTAGTTCTGTTCTAGTTCTGTTCTAGTTCTGTTCTAGTTCTGTTCTAGTTCTGTTCTAGTTCTGTTCTAGTTCTGTTCTAGTTCTGTTCTAGTTCTGTTCTAGTTCTGTTCTAGTTCTGTTCTAGTTCTGTTGTAGTTCCGTTGTAGTTCTGTTCTAGTTCTGTTCTAGTTCTGTTCTAGTTCTGTTCTAGTTCTGTTCTAGTTCTGTTCTAGTTCTGTTCTAGTTCTGTTCTAGTTCTGTTCTAGTTCTGTTCTAGTTCTGTTCTAGTTCTGTTCTAGTTCTGTTCTAGATCTGGTCTTTCCGTTTTAGTTCTATTCTATTTCTGTTCTAGTTTTGTTCTGGTTCTGTACTAGTTCTAGTTCCTTTCTAGTTCCCTTTTAGCGTATAAATTCTTTGCTCTGGCCAGTTCACCCAAAAATATTTTGTTTTGCAATTTTACAACTTTAAACAGCTGTTGATAAAAAAAACGAAATTTGCAGAAAACAAAAGGTTTAAACTCCATGTTATTAAAGAATTTAAAGTTCTTCACAGTTTTACAAACTGTGTGAGTAAAAATGAATATTTTAAAAAAGAGAAGTGTTGCATGCTGCATAACAATGCAACACTAAACAAAACACAGAATAAAAATTAACTGCATACTTTTCGGTATTAATGGTGCCACTGATGCTGTTGGTTGTCGTTGATATTGTTGTTGTCATGTCTAACAAACTAACCTACGACTGAATGTCAAACATAGTGGAAGAAGTGAACAAAAAAGAAGTAAGTTATGCTGGAGAGGACTGAAAGCAAATACAATCTGTTCAAAACACAACAGACCAAAGGACCCCCGTAGATGTCCTGCTGTGACTAAAAAGGCTCGTGTTAAAGAAGTTTAGTTAGGTTAGTGTCTAACACAAGCACACACACTCTCACATTTACTCCTTTTGTCTACTGGTATTGATTGAAATGAAACCATGGACGAGCTAAACTGAATTTGAACTGAATCGAGTCGTTTTGAGTTGAAATAATGTTTGGTTTTGAAGAGTGTTAAAATTAAGATATATCCTGCTGTCTGTCGTCCTTTTTATGAGGTTTTGTGTGTTGCTGCTGCTGTAAATTTAATCTTAGGACGATTATGCGGATGAGAATTACGTTGATGATGACGATGATGATGAGGACTACTTTTTTTAAATGGTTTTTGTTGCCTCTAAAACTACTCAGATTTGTTTTGATGGTTACAAGTCAGTTTGGCCAAATAGAGATAGTTTTTGCTTTTTTATTTGTTTTTAAGCCGATTAGGACTTTTTAATTATGATTTATTGTTTTTTTCGGGGAAGAGATTTAGCAGGAATGACAACTTTTTTATAGAAATCGAAATAAATAGTTTTTTTTTTTTGAACTGTTAAAATATTGTGATTTGGCGTATGGGTTCTAAATAATAAAATATGGTAAAACTTACAGGAATTTTAAGGCAGAAATTGTAAAACCGTGTAAACATACCTGAAAAGAAAAATTAAGAAAATTTTAAATTAAAAATTTGTGAAAAAATTTTGAAAACTTCAAAAAAACTAAATGCATATTTCGATTGAAAAAGTTGCCTTACATTTATGTTCTAGTTATGTTCTGTTTTAGTTCTGTTCTTGTTCTGTTCTAATTCTGTTCTAGTTCAGTTCTAGTTCATTTCTAGTTCAGTTCTAGTTAAGTTCTAGTTCTGTTCTGTTCTAGTTCTGTTCTAGTTTGTTTTTCTGTTCTAGTTTCTGTTCTAGTTCTGTTCTAGTTCTGTTCTAGTTCTGTTCTAGTTCTGTTCTAGTTCTGTTCTAGTTCTGTTCTAGTTCTGTTCTAGTTCTGTTCTAGTTCTGTTCTAGTTCTGTTCTAGTTCTGTTCTAGTTCTGTTCTTCTAGTTCTGTTCTAGTTCTGTTCTAGTTCTGTTCTAGTTCTGTTCTAGTTCTGTTCTAGTTCTGTTCTAGTTCTGTTCTAGTTCTGTTCTAGTTCTGTTCTAGTTCTGTTCTAGTTCTGTTCTAGTTCTGTTCTAGTTCTGTTCTAGTTCTGTTCTAGTTCTGTTCTAGTTCTGTTCTAGTTCTGTTCTAGTTCTGTTCTAGTTCTGTTCTAGTTCTGTTTTAGTTCAGTTCTAGTTCAGTTCTAGTTCAGTTCTAGTTCAGTTCTAGTTCAGTTCTAGTTCAGTTCTAGTTCAGTTCTAGTTCAGTTCTAGTTCTGTTCTAGTTCTAGTTCAGTTCTAGTTCAGTTCTAGTTCTGTTCTAGTTCAGTTCTGGTTCAGTTCAGTTCTAGTTCAGTTGTAGTTCAGTTCTAGTTCTGTTCTAGTTCTGTTCTAGTTCAGTTCTAGTTCTGTTCTAGTTCTGTTCTAGTTCTGTTCTAGTTCTGTTCTAGTTCAGTTCTAGTTCTGTTCTAGTTCAGTTCTAGTTCTGTTCTAGTTCAGTTCTAGTTCTGTTCTAGTTCTGTTCTAGTTCTGTTCTAGTTCTGTTCTAGTTCTGTTCTAGTTCTGTTCTAGTTCTGTTCTAGTTCTGTTCTAGTTCTGTTCTAGTTCTGTTCTAGTTCTGTTCTAGTTCTGTTCTAGTTCTGTTCTAGTTCTGTTCTAGTTCAGTTCTAGTTCTGTTCTAGTTCAGTTTCTAGTTCTGTTCTAGTTCTGTTCTAGTTCTGTTCTAGTTCTGTTCTAGTTCTGTTCTAGTTCTGTTCTAGTTCTGTTCTAGTTCTGTTCTAGTTCAGTTCTAGTTCTGTTCTAGTTCTGTTCTAGTTCTGTTCTAGTTCTGTTCTAGTTCTGTTCTAGTTCTGTTCTAGTTCTGTTCTAGTTCTGTTCTAGTTCTGTTCTAGTTCTGTTCTAGTTCTGTTCTAGTTCTGTTCTAGTTCTGTTCTAGTTCTGTTCTAGTTCTGTTCTAGTTCTGTTCTAGTTCTGTTCTAGTTCTGTTCTAGTTCTGTTCTAGTTCTGTTCTGGTTCTGTTCTAGTTTTCTGTTCTAGTTCTGTTCTAGTTCTGTTCTAGTTCTGTTCTAGTTCTGTTCTAGTTCTGTTCTAGTTCTGTTCTAGTTCTGTTCTAGTTCTGTTCTAGTTCTGTTCTAGTTCTGTTCTAGTTCTGTTCTAGTTCTGTTCTAGTTCTGTTCTAGTTCTGTTCTAGTTCTGTTCTAGTTCTGTTCTAGTTCTGTTTTAGTTCTGTTCTAGTACTGTTCTAGTTCTGTTCTAGTTCTGTTCTAGTTCTGTTCTAGTTCTGTTCTAGTTCTGTTCTATTCTGTTTCTAGTTTCTGTTCTAAGTTCTGTTCTTCCAGTTCTGTTCTACTGCTTTCAAGTTCTTTCTAGTTCTGTTCTAGTTCTGTTTAGTCTGTTCTAGTTCTGTAGTGGAATAGTCAAACAACAACTTGCTTTATTAGACAACTCTTCTATAAAAAGGTTGCTTAACTAAGGACATGTTTTATTCAGAAATAGCTGCTTTAATAGACTACATTTCATATAAATAAATTTGTCATAATATATTCAAACATATTCCTAAAAATAATTTATATTTATCAAAAGTTCCTTATAATATTTAAATATACATTTGATTTATAGAAAGTTATGAGTCTTATGTTACTAATTAATTTGTGGTTTAAAACTCAACAAAGTTTGTGATTTCATTTAAGTAAAAAATAAGAGGTTTATTACTAATATACATATAACGAATTACCACTAGAACAAATCCCTTTAAATAACTCCAACAAATCATTTTACTTACAGTTTATATCAACTAATGAACGAGGAAAACATGGGAAAAGCTTAAATCTTGTTAAATTTTGGGCTGCTATTTTCGGTTCTAAGCTCAGGACTAGCTGCTGTCATAAATGCTAAGGGATTACTAATAAAACAAATGTTGATCTCAAAGATGTTGGAGAATATATGAAATCGAAAATGCAATGCATGAATTTGGCACCTTTTCGCAAAGATTTCCAGAAATTTGAAATGGATCAAGACACCTGGAGGTATTTTGCAAACATATAGTTTGAAATGAAATTTTTATTAATTGTTATCTTTACTAATAGTGCTAAAGGCAACGTTAGCAATTTAATGCTGGAAGGTCTCAATAAATTCGATATTATTGACTTGACTTGGAATACTACTAATAACCAGTTTAAATTTGAGTTTAATTTTCCCAAACTTAAAATTTTAAGTTCGTATAAGATAAATGGCGTCTACAACAAAACTGCTACACCGAAAACAATCTTTGGTAATGGTCTTTTCCGTTTAGAACTTATCGATCTTAATATAAAAGGCAATTTCATATTGGTACCAGTGCTAGAGGGCAAGCTTTAACTGTAGCCAATTTTACCACCAAAATGAAGCTAAAAGAATCCCATTCTACAAGTACTGGTTTTATGAATAGTAGCAAAGCAACGGAAGTAGTATTAATTATTCGGTAGAGGAAAATTGTTAATTTATTAATTGTTGAACAGCAATTCAGTAACTTACTAAAGTCGGCTGTGGAATTAACTACGAAAAACGGGCCTATTAACGCAACTCTGTCAGACTTGAAATCTTATGTAGAATTTGTAAAGACAAAGACAGTGCCAAAAGAACAATTGTGTAATACTAATGGAAATGACAATAAAACTGGAGTTCTATGGCAACAGAACTGGAGTTCTAGCATAAATATGGACAAAGAAAGAGACCAAAAAACAACTCAAAATACTTAGTAATTTTATTAAATAATCTGGATGTTTAAAATCTATATAATTAAATCTTATTTAAAAAATGTAAATAAATTGTGTTTAATGAACTAGAACAGAACTAGAACAGAATTAGAATAGAACTAGAACAGAACTAGAACAGAACTAGAACAGAACTAGAACAGAACTAGAACAGAACTAGAACATAACTAGAACAGAAACTGGAACAAAACTAGAACATAATTCTAACAGAAATAGAATAGAACTGAACTAGAACATAACTAGAACATAACTAGAACAGAACTAGAACAGAACAAGAAGAGAACAAGAACAGAACTAGAACAGAACTAGAACAGAACTAGAACAGAACAAGAACAGAACTAGAACAGAACTAGGACAGAACTAGAACAGAACTAAAACAGAACTAGAACAGAACTAGAACAGAACTAGAACAGAACTAGAACAGAACTAGAACAGAACTAGAACAGAACTAGACAGAACCAGAACAGAACTAGAACAGAACTAGAACAGAACTAGAACAGAACTAGAACAGACTAGAACAGAACTAGAACAGAACTAGAACAGAACTAGAACAGAACTAGAACAGAACTAGAACAGAACTAGAAAGAACCGAACTAGAACAGAACTAGAACAGAACTAGAACAGAACTAGAACAGAACTAGACAGAACTAGGACAGAACTAGAACAGAACTAGAACAGAACTAGAACAGAACTAGAACAGAACTAGAACAGAACTAGAACAGAACTAGAACAAAACTAGAACAGAACTAGAACAGAACTAGAACAGAACTAGAACAGAACTAGAACAGAACTAGAACAGAACTAGAACAGAACTAGAACAGAACTAGAACAGAACTAGAACAGAACTAGAACAGAACTAGAACAGAACTAGAACAGAACTAGAACAGAACTAGAACAGAACTAGAACAGAACTAGAACAGAACTAGAACAGAACTAGAACAGAACTAGAACAGAACTAGAACAGAACTAGAACAGAACTAGAACAGAACTAGAACAGAACTAGAACAGAACTAGAACAGAACTAGAACAGAACTAGAACAGAACTAGAACAGAACTAGAACAGAACTAGAACAGAGCTAGATCAGAACTAGAACAGAATTAGGACAGAACTAGAACAGAACTAGAACAGAACTAGAACAGAACTAGAACAGAACTAGAACAAAACGAGAACAAAACTAGAACAGAACTAGAACAGAACTAGAACAGAACTAGAACAGAACTAGAACAGAACTAGAACAGAACTAGAACAGAACTAGAACAGAATTAGAATAGAAATATGCTTTAATTTATTAAACAAAAAAGAATTATTCGCGAATTATCTTCCAAACATTTTATTTAAAATTTTTCATTAACAAATCACTTCTGTGGGTAAACCCACATCCACCAAGCCTGTTATTAAGGCCACCAATTCCACTAAGGAAATATTCTTTAAAGCTTTATTCATTAGCGGTACCACAAAATACTCCACTGTTTTGCTAACCTCTGCCTGTTCGGCAAAAGTCAAATTAATAAATTCCTCTATCCAAGAGTTGAAAAGTTTAGTATATAACAAACTATTCATAAAACCGGTACTTTTCGAATGAGACGACTCCAATGTTAATTGGGTTTTAAAATCCTCCACAGCCAAGCCACCTGATAGCAAGAGAGGTTTTAATTTAAAGCTGCCTTTAGCTTTTAAATTAACAAGTTCCAAACGGAAAAGACCATTGCCAAAGAAATGGACGGGGGAAGGAAACATGTGGTTAACAGCATTTAATTTATAAGAACTTTTAGCTTCTATTGAGGGAAAATTGAATTCAAAAGTTATTTTTGCGTAAAATATTATTCCAATGCAAAACCACAACATCGAATTCATTGAGACCGGTTATCACCATATCGCTAAAGTTGCCTTTGACACTGAAAGATAAATCATAATTAATATTTTATAAAAAATTATTTACAACCAAATACCTCCAGCTAGATTTTTGAAAATCAAATTGTACAAAATCGCTACGATAAGGAGCTAAAGGTGGCACTCCGTAGGCAGGAAAACCACAATGCATTTGTAATTTAAAATATTCCACTACTTCTCTTAGATCATCATCAAATTTAGTGCGGCTTTCGATATCAAACTCTTCTCGTTGTAAGACCAAACCATGGCCAAAGTCTATAAAGGCCAAAAAGAGGCCAAGATATATGAATAATGCAAATTTTTGCATGTTTCTTTAATGAGTAATTAAAACAAACTGTTTTGGAGTAACGGATTAGTTTTCCATTTAAAATCAACAATTATTCAATGATAATATTAATTTTAGATTAGATTTATTTAAACAAATGTTTATAGCAAGATAAAGGGAATTAATCATTTTACTAAAAGTAACTGAGCCTAAAAATAGGCACTAGATTTTGAAAATGTTCAAAAAGAGACAATTAGAAAAAAAAAACAAAAATCCAATTGGAATTAAATTTCTTATCCTATAGGAAATGTTGCCTTAATAAGAAAACAGAACTAGAAAGGAACTAAGACAGAACAGAACTAGAACATAACTTGAACAGAACTAGAACAGTACTAGAACAGAAACTAGAACAGAACTAGAACTAAACAGAACTAGAACAGAACTAGAACAGAACTAGAACAGAACTAGAACAGAACTAGAACAGAACTAGAACAGAACTAGAACAGAACTAGAACAGAACTAGAACAGAACTAGAACAGAACTAGAACAGAACTAGAACAGAACTGGAACAGAACTAGAACTAGAACAGAACTAGAACAGAACTAGAACAGAACTAGAACAGAACTAGAACAGAACTAGAACAGAACTAGAACAGAAGTAGAACGGAACTAGAACAGAACTAGAACAGAACTAGAACAGTACTAGAACAGAACTAGAACAGAACTAGAGCAGAACTAGAACAGAACTAGAACTCGAACAGAACTAGAACTCGAACAGAACTAGAACAGAACTAGAACAGAACTAGAACAGAACTAGAACAGTACTAGAACAGAACTAGAACAGAACTAGAACAGAACTAGAACAGAACTAGAACAGAACTAGAACAGAACTAGAACAGAACTAGAACAGAACTAGAACAGAACTAGAACAGAACTGAACAGAACTGGAACAGAACTGGAACAGAACTAGAACTAGAACAGAACTAGAACAGAACTAGAACAGAACTAGAACAGAACTAGAACAGAACTAGAACAGAACTAGAACTAGAATAGAACTAGAACAGAACTAGAACAGAACTAGAACAGTACTAGAACAGAACTGGAACAGAACTAGTACAGAACTAGAACAGAACTAGAACAGAACTAGAACAGAACTAGAACAGAACTAGAACAGAACTAGAACAGAACTAGAACAGAACTAGAACAGAACTAGAACAGAACTAGAACAGAACTAGAACAGAACTAGAACAGAACTAGAACAGAACTAGAACAGAACTAGAACAGAACTAGAACAGAACTAGAACAGAACTAGAACAGAACTAGAACAGAACTAGAACAGAACTAGAACAGAACTAGAACAGAACTAGAACAGAACTAGAACAGAACTAGAACAGAACTAGAACAGAACTAGAACAGAACTAGAACAGAACTAGAACAGAACTAGAACAGAACTAGAACCAGACAGAACTAGAACAGAACTAGAACAGAACTAGAACAGAATAGAACAGAACTAGAACAGAACTAGAACAGAAAGAACAGAACTAGAAGACTAAGAACAGACTAGAACAGAACTAGAACAGAACTAGAACAGAACTAGAACAGAACTAGAACTGAACTAGAACTGAACTAGAACTGAACTAGAACAGAACAGAACTAGAACAGAACTAGAACAGAACTAGATCAGAACTAGAACAGAACTAGAACAGAACTAGAACAGAACTAGAACAGAACTAGAACAGAACTAGAACAGAACTAGAACAGAACTAGAACAGAACTAGAAAAGAACTAGAATAGAACTAGAACAGAACTAGAACAGAACTAGAACAGAACTAGAACAGAACTAGAACAGAACTAGAACAGAACTAGATCAGAACTAGAACAGAACTAGAACAGAACTAGAACAGAACTAGAACAGAACTAGAACAGAACTAGAACAGAACTAGAACAGATATATGTATATAATACATATATACAAATATATTTTTTCTATAGAAAATATTACTTCAGTAAAGCAACATTTGCTATAGAAAATTGGCGATAATAGTAAAAATTCCTGTTTCAGTTTTTTTAAATCACATTTCTATTTGATATTTTAAATCGCAAAAATCCTTAAACAAATACCATCTTAAACTTAAGCCCATGGATCAGCTGGTGGCACACAGGTAGTAACAATAGGATCATCTTCACCCTCACCCTCAGTGCTGGAGAAAATATAATCGATAATGGTCCAGAAATCATTACCCTTCAACATCTTATTGACCTTGGGTACCAAGTTGTTTTCAATGAAATCGGAAATCTCTTGAGTACTGCCATTAATGCCCATTTCAACAAAGTTTTCAATTTGACGATTGATCATGCGATTAATGGAACCATCACCCATAAAACCAGTAATATCGGAAGTACATTTTTCCAAAGTGATTTCAGTCTTCAAGGAGGTAATCTTAATGGAGCCCCACAAAATGGGAATTTTATACTTCAAGGTACCAGCAATGCGCAAATTCTTAAGGCCGAATTCCAAGGAACCATCACCTTCGTATTCGACGGACAAACCTAATTGACGCATGGCATCGAGAATGGTATCGGTTTCGTATTTTTCAGCAGAGGCCTTAACGTTGCGGAAGAGGAAATCGAATTTGACCTTGGAGGTGAACATGTTGAGTTTGAAACGATTGATTTTGAAGTCATCTAAACCGTCAACGCGGAAACGGAAAACTTTGTCGATGGTTCTGGAGAGTAAAGATAAAAGAAATCCGTTAAAATTTGGTCCATAATAATGAATCTTTAAAAGCTTTCAAAGGAGCTTTAAGCAATAAAAGCTTTTAAAGCTTTCTGAAAGCTTAAGTGAATTTAAAGCTTTTTTTCGAGTATTTCAATTTCAATCACACTTACTCCAAAATACCCTTCTTCAAAGACACTTCAGCTTCACGAACCTTCAAGGGAGCCAATGGAGGAATGCCATACTGGGGCCAGCCACAGGGCATTTGCTTTTGCATTTTACGAATAAAACGACGCACCTGCCAAGACAAAATGAATTGAGGAGCCACTGAAATTCAAGAAACAAATTATTAAATCCATTAACCATACAAGAGTTACTTCCAACTTACCCTCCATGGTACCATCTTCATTATCAATCACTACCTCCAATTCACCATCATTATTTTCGACTAAATCCAAAACGTAGGCATCAATCTTATTGCTCATGGGACTACCAATTCTACCCTGACTGGGTAAAACGGTGCCGGCCAAGGCTACACTGGCAAAAGCCAAAACTAATAAAAAGCGCATTTTCTGTTAAAACTAAAGTAACTTTTCGTGGGAAATGCTACCTATAAACTGTTTAAAATATTGCTAAATATTAGCTTTTTATATGGTTAATATCGGCAAAAATGTATGTTCATTTTAAAGTGATTTATATGGTGGTTGTTATCTCTTTTTTGCCAGGGGTCTTTGGCGAAATTTTGTTTTAACTTCTTATCTTATAAGGGGGCAAAAATAAGTTTGCTATTTTATTTTCTAGTTGACAATCTATTGGCCAATTAAGATTTAATAAATATTTTATAGATTTATATGCAAAACTAAAGAAAATATTTTCAAGAAGCCTTATCACAAATCATTCACAAATTAAACTTTTTAAATAAAAAAAATTAATAAATTAGTTAAATTGTATTTAAAATAAGTATAAAAGTTAAAAACTATTAATTTCTTTAAATTGTTATTGAAACGGATTTTTCTAACCGAACTAGAACTGAAATTTACCGGGAACTAGAAAGGAATTAGAAAGGAACTAGAACAGAACTAGAAAAGAACTAGAACAGAACTAGAACAGAACAAGAACAGAGCTAGAACAGAACTAGAACAGAGCTAGAACAGAACTAGAGCAGAACTAGAACAGAACTAGAACAGAACAGAACTAGAACAGAACTAGAACAGAACTAGAACAGAACTAGAACAGAACTAGAACAGAACTAGAACAGAACTAGAACAGAACTAGAACAGAACTAGAAAAGAACTAGAACAGAACTAGAACAGAACTAGAACAGAACTAGAACAGAACTAGAACAGAACTAGAACAGAACTAGAACAGAACTAGAACAGAACTAGAACAGAACTAGAACAGAACTAGAACAGAACTAGAACAGAACTAGAACAGAACTAGAACTGAAATGAACTAGACCTGAACTAGAACAGAACTAGAACTCGAAAGAACTCGAACAGAACTAGAACAGAACTAGAACAGAACTAGAACAGAACTAGAACAGAACTAGAACAGAACTAGAACAGAACTAGAACAGAACTAGAATAGAACTAGAACAGAACTAGAACAGAACTAGAACAGAACTAGAACAGAACTAGAACTGAACTAGAACAGAATAAGTACAGAACTAGAACTAAACTAGAACTGAAATAGAACTGAACTAGAACAGAACTACAACAGAACTAGAACAGAACTAGAACAGAACTAGAACAGAACTAGAACAGAACTAGAACAGAACTAGAACAGAACTAGAACAGAACTAGAACAGAACTAGAACAGAACTAGAACAGAACTAGAACAGAACTAGAACAGAACTAGAACAGAACTAGAACAGAACTAGAACAGAACTAGAACAGAACTAGAACAGAACTAGAACAGAACTAGTACAGAACTAGAACAGAACTAGAACAGAACTAGAACAGAACTAGAATAGAAGTAGAATAGAAGTAGAATAGAAGTAGAACAGAACTAGAACAGAACTAGAAAAAACTAGAACAGAACTAGAACAGAACTATAACAGAACTAGAACAGAACTAGAACAGAACTATAACAGAACTAGAACAGAACTAGAATAGAACTAGAATAGAACTAGAACAGAACTAGAACAGAACTAGAACAAACTAGCACAGAACTAGAACAGAACTAGAACAGAACTAGAATAGAACTAGAATAGAACTAGAACAGAACTAGAACAGAACTAGAACAAACTAGAACAGAACTAGAACAGAACTAGAACAGAACTAGAACAGAACAGAACAGAACTAGAACAGAACTAGAACAGAACTAGAACAGAACTAGAACAGAACTAGAACAGAACTAGAACAGAACTAGAACAGAACTAGAACAGAACTAGAACAGAACTAGAATAGAACTAGAACAAAACTAGAACAGAACTAGAATAGAACTAGAACAGAACTAGAATAGAACTAGAACAGAACTAGAACATAACTAGAACAGAACTAGAACAGAACTAGAACAGAACTAGAACAGAACTAGAACAGAACTAGAACAGAACTAGAACAGAACTAGAACAGAACTAGAACACAACTAGAACAGAACTAGAACAGAACTAGAACAAAACTAGAACAGAACTAGATCAAAACTAGAGCTGGACTAGAACTGAACTAGAAACTGAACTAGAACTGAACTAGAACTGAACTAGAACTGAACTAGAACTGAACTAGAACTGAACTAGGAACTGAACTAGAACTGAACTAGAACTGAACTAGAACTGAACTAGAACTGAACTAGAACTGAACTAGAACTGAACTAGAACTGAACTAGAACTGAACTAGAACTGAACTAGAACTGAACTAGAACTGAACTAGAACTGAACTAGAACTGAACTAGAACTGAACTAGAACTGAACTAGAACTGAACTAGAACTGAACTAGAACTGAACTAGAACTGAACTAGAACTGAACTAGAACTGAACTAGAACTGAACTAGAACTGAACTAGAACTGAACTAGAACTGAACTAGAACTGAACTAGAACTGAACTAGAACTGAACTAGAACTGAACTAGAACTGAACTAGAACTAGAACTGAACTAGAACTGAACTAGAACTAGAACTAGAACTAGAACTAGAACTGAACTAGAACTGAACTAGAACAGAACTAGAACAGAACTAGAACAGAACTAGAACAGAACTAGAACTGAACTAGAACTGAACTAGAACTGAACTAACTGAACTAACTGAACTAGAACTGAACTAGAACTGAACTAGAACTAGAACTGAACTAGAACAGATCTAGAACAGTACTAGAACAGAACTAGAACAGAACTAGATACGAACTAGAACGGAACTTAATTAGTTTTAACTGAAACAACATTATAAATTTAAATGTTAACAAATTCCTTTATTTCATATCACATTAGAAAGCCGTTTCAAATCTCATTCGACCAGGGAGCTGGAGGAGCATCACACTTACTAGTCGAACCACCCAATTGACCTAACATATACCAAATCTTTTTACCCTTCATCATGGCATTAACACGAGGCACAAAGTTCTCCTCAATCATGGCACTTATCTCAGCCTGATGACCATTAATGAACGAAGGCACCAAATCCTCAATTTGATCGTTAACCAATTTATTCAGTTTGCCATTACCCAAAATGCCACCAATATTAGAGGTAACCGAACCCAAAGTAACAACAGCTTGGAATTTATAGATCTTAATGGAACCGAAAATGAAGGGCATTTTATATTTGAATTGACCCTCAATGGAGAGATTTTGCAAAGAGAACTCAAAAGGACCACTGCCCTCATAGCGTACGGACAAGCCCAATTGTTTCATGGTATCCAAAAAGGTATCGGTGTTCATGAGGGAAGCGGTGGCCTTCAAAACGGGGAAATTGAAATGGAATTTAACTTTCTTGTTGAAAGTATAGGAGACTTTCAATTTCTTGATTTCCATTTTATCCAAACCATCGAAACGGAAACGGATCATTTGAACGAGGGCACTATGGAAGGTAGAAGAGAGAGAGAGAGAGCGATGTTAGAGAAGTTCCTTTAGGGAGAAAGGGTATTTGTTTTGAATACTTACTCTACTACAGATTTGGCTAAATGGACTTCCAAATCGGGATTGGTATAGGGAGCCAAAGGAGGAATACCATATTCAGGCCAACCGCAGGGCATTTGTTGTAGAGCATTTTTAACAGCCTTCTTGGCTTGGGAGTTTAAAATCAAACCTCTGGTTTCGGGGGTCAACCTCTAAAATTTATGGGTTTGAATTAGAAATGAACTAATTTCTGAGTTTTTTGTATAAAACTTACTCTCATCCTGCATAAATTGCTCCCATTGTTGTTCGGTCAACAACTCCACCTCATAGGCCGCCACGCAGGCCAATAAAGCCGCAAATACCACAAATAATTTCATTTTAAAATTTTTTAACAAATTTCTTTTGTGTTCTTCTCACCAGCTTCAAAAAACTAATAAATTTTATTTTATGAGACATTTACACAAGCTTTTATACTCTTGTCGAAAACACTTGATTATTACGATGATTATTTCGGACACTAATCGGCCAATTTTACACTTAATTTACGATGTTTTTCAATACAAATTATTTATAGAAACGATCAAATCGTAAAGGCGATTTAAGAGATAATTAAAGTATTTTGACGAACACAAAAATATATAATCTAATCGTTCAATTAAAATATAAATCAATAAAATAAAAATAATAATTTAAAAATGTTTTCGAACTAGAAAAATTGAACAAGGAAAAGTTGGATGGATTACGCACTTCAAAATCATTTTATAAGCCGAACGGGTCAGATAATCTTAAAAAAAAGAAATAAATCAAATAATCAAGTGCAAAACACTTGTTTAATTGCAGTTATATATAATGAACGAATCGGCGATTTGATATGAACAGACAAATTAGAGGAAATGAAAAGAGAAAACCGAAAATGTTAAAAAAAATTATTGATTTTTTGGTTTTTTATTTATAATAAACTAAATTTTCCGTCTTATGTTTGAAAATTTAGTTGCCCTTACAAAATTTAGTTACAGCAAACATGATCAACACAACAGCTGATTTAAATTACTCTCTGTTTAAGCAAATTGTTGTTTCTCAGTTGCATTAGTGTAGTATTCTCTACGTTTATTTAGTAGCTCTAACCAAACATTGTTATAGCATAAAACTTTCAGCAATGTTTTTAATCACGTAAATTTTTTAATAAATGCAAATCAAGGAAAATTTTTAATCAAAATTTAACCCAGAAAAAAATCAAGTATTTATTTCCTTTTATAGAAATTTATTTTTTCCGCTTCAAAACTTTTAATTTAAATTCTAGATTCTCTTTCAAGTACAATCTGAGTACAATGCATTATCAGATTTTAATATATTAGAGTCACTTTTGGCTAGATATTAATCAAATGTTATCAACATTTTTAAATTAAAACGCTTTTGGGGGGAAACAAGAATTTTATTTATAAAAAATATTTATTTAAAATAAAATAAGAAACATTTTCTATGATTTCAAGAAGTGAACCAAAACTAGAGCAGAACTAGAACATAACTAAAACTGAACTAGAACAAAACTAGAACAGAACTAGAACTGGACTAGAAAAGAACTAGAACAGAACTAGAACAGAAGTAGAACAGAACTAGAACAGAACTAGAACAGAACTAGAACAGAACTAGAACAGAACTAGAACAGAACTAGAACAGAACTAGAACAGAACTAGAACAGAACTAGAGCAGAACTAGAACAGAACTAGAACAGAACTAGAACAGAACTAGAACAGAACTAGAACAGAACTAGAACAGAACTAGAACCGACCTGGAACAGAACTAGAACAGAACTAGAACAGAACTAGAACAGAACTAAAACAGAACTAAAACAGAACTAAAACAGAACTAGAACAGAACTAGAACAGAACTAGAACAGATCTAGAACAGAACTAGAACAGAACAGAACTAGAACAGAATTAGAACAGAACTAGAACAGAACTAGAACAGAACTAGAACAGAACTAGAACAGAACTAGAACAGAACTAGAACAGAACTAGAACAGAACTAGAACAGAACTAGAACAGAACTAGAACTGAACTAGAACAGAACTAGAACAGAACTAGAACAGAACTAGAACGGAACTAGAACGGAACTAGAACAGAACTAGAACAGAACTAGAACTGAACTAGAACTGAACTAGAACAGAACTAGAACAGAACTAGAACAGAACTAGAACGGAACTAGAACAGAACTAGAACAGAACTAGAACAGAACTAGAACAGAACTAGAACAGAACTAGAACAGAACTAGAACAGAACTAGAACAGAACTAGAACAGAACTAGAACAGAACTAGAACAGAACTAGAACAGAACTAGAACAGAACTAGAACAGAACTAGAACAGAATTAGAACTAGAACTAGAACAGAACTAGAACAGGACTAGAACAGAACTAGAACAGAACTAGAACAGAACTAGAACAGAACTAGAACTGAACTAGAACTGAACTAGAACTGAACTAGAACTGAACTAGAACTGAACTAGAACTGAACTAGAACTGAACTAGAACTGAACTAGAACTGAACTAGAACTGAACTAGAACTGAACTAGAACTGAACTAGAACTGAACTAGAACTGAACTAGAACTGAACTAGAACTGAACTAGAACTGAACTAGAACTGAACTAGAACTGAACTAGAACTGAACTAGAACAGAACTAGAACAGAATTAGAACTAGAACTAGAACAGAACTAGAACAGGACTAGAACAGAACTAGAACAGAACTAGAACAGAACTAGAACAGAACTAGAACTGAACTAGAACTGAACTAGAACTGAACTAGAACTGAACTAGAACTGAACTAGAACTGAACTAGAACTGAACTAGAACTGAACTAGAACTGAACTAGAACTGAACTAGAACTGAACTAGAACTGAACTAGAACAGAACTAGAACAGAACTAGAACAGAACTAGAACAGAACTAGAACAGAACTAGAACAGAACTAGAACAGAACTAGAACAGAACTAGAACAGAACTAGAACAGAACTAGAACAGAACTAGAACAGAACTAGAACAGAACTAGAACAGAACTAGAACAGAACTAGAACAGAACCAGAACAGAACTAGAACAGAATTAAAACAGAACTAGAACTAGAACAGAATTAGAACAGAACTACAACAGAACTAGAACAGAATTAAAACAGAACTAGAACTAGAACAGAACTAGAACAGAACTAGAACAGAACTAGAACAGAACTAGAGCAGAACTAGAACAGAACTAGAACAGAACTAGAACAGAACTAGAACAGAACTAGAACAGAACTAGAACAGAACTAGAACAGAACTAGAACAGAACTAGAACAGAACTAGATCAGAACTAGAACAGAACTAGAACAGAACTAGAACAGAACTAGAACAGAACTAGAACAGAACTAGAACAGAACTAGAACAGAACTAGAACAGAACTAGAACAGAACTAGAACAGAACTAGAACAGAACTAGAACAGAACTAGAACAGAACTAGAACAGAACTAGAACAGAACTAGAACAGAACTAGAACAGAACTAGAACAGAACTAGAACAGAACTAGAACTGATTTGATTTGTGCAACAATTTTCTAGAAGTAGTTGCTGTGATTTCAGCAACTTTTCTATATAATGTCTTCTAAGGGAAAAGTGGCTTCAATGCATATCACGAGTTTTATCTAAATTTTAGAAATTAAAACTGTTCATTGATATCCGGCTAATATGCGAAATTTGCATACAATTTTGCTACTGCCAAATAATTGCTTTTTTTTATATCTAAAATATTCTCTTAAGAACTTTTTTCGGCACATGATATGGCACAATTAACATCCAGAAAAACTATTAATAAATCAAAGTTTTTTAATGAAAACAAATTTCCCAAGTTGCAACAGATAACACTAAACATTTGAACACCTGTTGGAAAATTTTATTTGATAATTTCTACACAGAAAGCTTTAATAAAATCTGCAGGTGTAACGGAAATCTAAAATAAATAAAAATTCTAGAACAAATGATAACAATAGCTAAAAAACTAATTTTAAAATTTCTAAAATATATATATCTTTAAATAAATCAAAATCGTAAGAGATATATAGATAATATAAAAAAGAAAAACTATTAAAAAAAGTAATATAATAAATCTAACAACAAATTTTACTAAATATAACAAGTTTTAAGTGGTCCCACTATAAATCGTTTCAAAAACAATATTCTTCAGTTAGAGACCCCCCTTTGATTGTGCCAATATCTTTTACGAGTTTAATAATCAATTTATTTGATTTCTTTCAAGTGCTAGCAAATGATTTATGAAACAATTAAAATCGATATCTATCTATAATCGCTTTTAATTTTAAATGGTAAAAACAAAAATAATACCTCCGTAATAAAAATATGAAGAGATAAGACAGTTTAATAAGGAGTTGGACCTGAACTGAAAATTATATATTTTTTTTTTGCGTTTTCTCGGTCACGGTAGCTCGTAGTTAAATTTCTAAATCTTATCGTTTATTGATTGTTGCGAGTTTTATTAGAATTCTTAGGGGTCTGTTATAAAAGCTCTGCTATATGGATTTTAGAAAGTAGTATTCTAACTGTAACATTAACGAGCAGTTCTTGTATACAAAATAAAAAAAACATGAAAATCTTTATTTGTTTATTGGCTTTGGTGGCCATTGCTGCCGGCACCCAAAATGTGGATCCATTTGGTAAGTTTCTCAACAGAACAGAGTAACTTTTTCTATAGAAAAGTTGTCTTGAACAGAGCAACTTTTTGTATAAAAAAGTTGTCTTGAACCGAGCAACATTTCGTATAGAAAAGTCGTCTTGAACAAAGCATCTTTTTCTATAGAAAAGTAGTCTTGAACAGAGCAATTTTCTCCATAGAAAATTAGTCTTGAACAGAGCCACTTTCTCTATAGAAAAGTAGTTTTGAACAGAGCAACTTTCTCTATAGAAAAGTAGTCTTGAACAGAGCAACTTTCTCTATAGAAAAGTAGTCTTGAACAGAGCAACTTTCTCTATAGAAAAGTAGTCTTGAACAGAGCAACTTTCTCTATAGAAAAGTAGTCTTGAACAGAGCAACTTTCTCTATAGAAAAGTAGTCTTGAACAGAGCAACTTTTTCTATAGAAAAGTTGTCCTGAACAGAGCAACTTTTTCTATAGAAAAGTTGTCCTGAACAGAGCAACTTTTTCTATAGAAAAGTTGTCCTGAACAGAGCAACTTTTTCTATAGAAAAGTTGTCCTGAACAGAGCAACTTTTTCTATAGAAAAGTTGTCCTGAACAGAGCAACTTTTTCTATAGAAAAGTTGTCCTGAACAGAGCAACTTTTTCTATAGAAAAGTTGTCCTGAACAGAGCAACTTTTTCTATAGAAAAGTTGTCCTGAACAGAGCAACTTTTTCTATAGAAAAGTTGTCCTGAACAGAGCAACTTTTTCTATAGAAAAGTTGTCCTGAACAGAGCAACTTTTT